GTATTGTGTAGAGGGCTGGTAGAAGTCTAACTTTTGGTGATAAAACTGATAATCATCATCAGTTTTTTTATCAGTTTACCACTGATTTAGCTTCCACAAAGCTTTAGCAGTATATTGCCTTATAAAGTCAGGAGAAAGGTTAAGACCTCCATACAAATTTGATATAATACTGCATGAAATCACTGGATAAGGTTGCTTTCAGTATGGGTGAGTTATCATCAGTACCCTATATATACTCAGCTGTAGATGTGGACCACTGTTTAATCAAATGATTCTATCAAAGTCCTGTCCCCGTGTTCTGTGTCTGAAAGCAGAAGAAGCCCCACCCTGGCAAGGTTGGAGTAACTGTGGATGCAGGTGGTCTCTGGATCCAAGGACTTTCCATTTCTTCTTCCATCTTTGTGAATGGATTGCACTTCTGCAGAAAAAAATGTTGCACAGTTTGGGAGTCTTCCTGGATTCACCACACCTGTAAGAAAAACAGGTGCCAGATGTGTCAGAAAGGATTCTACACAGATTTATCATTTGTGTCAACTGTACCTATTGCTGACTGGGAGAGTCAAAAAGGTCCTTTTCATGATCATCCATGCCTTGGTTACTTCAGATTGTGGACTACTACAGTGTGCTTTATTGCTCTTGAGGACCACTTGGAAGCTTCAGCTGGTCCAAAATGCAACAGTAGATGTCCTGTGGTGCATATGTTTCAGCTTGTGTAAGCTTTACTGGTTACCAAAGCACAGTTCAAGGTGTTGATTATCACTGTAAAAATCTTCCATAGCATAGTAATAGCAATAGCACTTAGACTTATATACCACTTCACAGTGCTTTACAGCCCTCTCTAAGAGGTTACAGAGTCAGCATATTGCCCCCAACAATCTGGATCCTCTTTTTGCTGAACTCACAAGGATGGAAGGCTGAGTCAACCTTGAACTAGTGAGAATCAAACTTCTCGCAGTTGGCAGAATAAGACTGCAAATACTGCATTCTAACCACTATGACACTATGTCTCTAGTCTAGTTGGACAGATGGACTCTGTCTCTCCCTTTGCTGCTCATTCTGTAAAATCAAACAGAGAAGTTCCCTCTATTAAACTGAATGGAGAAGCATATCTTTTCTGCTGTGGCACATTCCCTTCAAAATAACATAATAGCCCAAGCCTTTCTTTGTTTTAAACAAGCTTTGAAGACCTGTCCCCCCCACCCTAGACTTTCGGCTAGAGTAGAAAGTGAATTTCTTTGCAAGCATGGTTTATACTTTTCTGTTAGGAGGACCATCTGCTTCTTGTTTCACTTGATGCTGTTCTGTATCTTAGTTTTAATTTTGTACATCATTTAGAATTATCAAGAAGTTGTACAACTTTAGAAACATGAAAAATGAAGAAGTACATTCCAAAACCTATTATTAAATTTAGACCATCCAGAAGCTTACTGTTTCCTATTTTCATTTTTAGAATGTAAATATGTTTCCAAAATTGATTAAATAAACCCACATATGTGGGATCAATTCTTTAATACTAGGAGAGTAAATTTCTTTCCTTTCATAAAATAATTCTTTCTGCCAAAGTGCAGGCTGGATAGAGCCAAATTATTTATATAATATAAGATCCCATATTTTGGGAGTAGAATTTAGCATGATATTTATATTTTTAACATTATAATTTCCTCAGAGCTATAGTTGAAAAGGAACCATTGTTGGAGATGATCAAATTAGATGAGTCATTGAGCCCTCAAAATTTCTTCCATTGGTAGCATAAGAAATCAGATAGTCAAGCTATTTACAATTTTCTTACAGATTCCAATAAACATGAAAAAAGGTTTCCTTTTCTTCTGTCTTAAATTATAAGAGAGAGATTTTCTGTTTTTTAAATTTTGGCTCCACTGATTTTTCAAAATTAGATATCTAATTCCTTATTCCATGTGTCATGGATGTTACCAATGTTGAACTTTCATCTTATTTTTTATTTTAATATAAAACAGAATTGTTGATTTCACTTCAAAGACAGGGCATCTCTTAAAGCTGTTAGAATTCCAGGTATCTTTGACATTGGATATTATTTTGTCAGACATGTTTTAATTATATATACTGCTAATAAAAGTATTTAAGTAATATGTTTTTAGAAGCCTATTTCAGAGAAGCATCTGAAATCTTATATATACATATACACATACACATACACATACATATACATATATGCCTGCAAAACATGCTCCTAGATTGGACTGAAATGCAGAACAGACTGATTTATATTTGGTAGACCAGGTGCTCCACTCAACAGATACATATACATATACATACACATACACACACACACACACATACACATATATAGACAGTAGTTAAGCACAGCTCCACAACATATGTTTAGTTTGATTCCATGCTGGTTGAGTTATTTCTTTCGCTCAGTCTCTGTGCTTTACCAAAGATAAAAAAGAAAGTGTTTCTTGCAGGATTTTATAACTCGTGTTATTCAATAGCTGTTTTACAACAAGACAAACATTCCCATCTAAAATGTTAGGTTGACCCTGTGATACTTTGTAGAGTGTGAGAATTCTTCACTATTAACTGAAAATTCTCCCATTTATGCTTGAGCATCGCAGTCGGTGACTTCTCTTGAACAGCTAATTAGTCCGATTATTCCACAGATGCATAGGTTTACCACAAAGGTTTTTCTCGTAGTTTATCAAACGGATCATTCTCTTTGGGAATGTTGCAACCTGACAGGCTTGGAATAGTAACACAATCATCATTCCCCATCCCCATCTCACCTCTGTTGGAAGGGCGGGCGGGGGTGGTGGGGGGGGGAGAATGCAGGGGAATAAATTGTGAGTGGTCTGAAAAAAAATCTGGATTTGATCCATTTGGCAATTGGGGGGTTGGGAAATATCCAAAAATGTGCACCTTTCAAAGTCTGGATTGTTGAAATGCCAAATGAACCACTGGATTCAGGTAATAAGCATTCTGGAGAAGATTACAAGAAATAAGCTTCCTTCCCTCTCATTTGTTTCCAGTCAGATTATGTGTTGGGTGTTTTGTGTGTGTGTGTTTTGTGAGGTTGATAAATTTGCTAGTTTTTCTAGTGTTTGAAATGTACATTATGAAAGTCTTATGTAAGTTTTATTGGGACTGTGATCCTTGCTTATATCTATGTTGCAACAGTGTTGTCTGCTTGTTTATTAGTATTTGAGTGGAATTTTCAGGAAGAAACAACAGTAAAAATGAATTAAATAATTCACATTTCTATTCATAATGCTCCTAAAGTAATTACATAGCTACTACTTATCCCATGGTATGCTATGCTATGCTATGCTACGCTACGCTACCCTATCCTTCCCTCCCCTCCCTCCCCTCCCCTCCCCTCCCCTCCCCACCCCACCCCACCCCACCCCATCCCATCCCATCCCATCCCATCCCATCCCATCCTATCCTATCCTATCCTATCCTATCCTATCCTATCCTATCCTATCCTATCCTATCTTGTGTCTCTTTAGCCTAATCCCTTATTTAAAATTTCTGTCTTAAACACTAATATATTTAATATTTTTTTAAAAAATATTACATAAAATAGTCACCCCGTTTTCTTCTACTCAAGATTTTTAAATGCTTGAGAGAAAGAAAAAAAATGTTTCTTGTTTATCTTGACAAAACCTGGAGATTGTCCAGGCAAAGCTGCACTACTTGCAATGCACTACATTCCCCAGTTTTCTCATAAAGTTTTGCAACAGTAATTCCCCCCGAATACAACTAGTCCTCGACTTAACAACAGTTCATTTAGTGACCATTCAACGTCACAACGGCACTGAAACAAAGTGACTTAGGACGGTTTTTCACACTTATGACCATTGCAGCATCCTTGCGGTCACGTGATCGAAATTCGGACACTTGGCAACTGATTCAGATTTATGATGGTAGCAGTATGCTGGAGTCATGTGATCACCTTTTGTGACTTTTTGACAAGCAAAATCAGTGGGGAAACTCAGATTCGCTTAACAACCATGTTACTAACTTAACAACTGCAGTTATTCGCTTAACAACTGTGGTAAGCAAGGTTGTAAAATGGGGCAAAACTCCCTTAATAGTCTCACTTAGCAATAGAAGTTTTGGGCTCAATTGTGGTCGTAAGTCGAGAACTACCTATACAGCAGTCCTGTGTTCCTATAGCAATTCTTCACTTGAAACAATTGGGTGATAACCCAATTGAGCTGGACTAGAAAAATCCCATTAATCTAGACTAGATCTTTGAGTTCTGGGCTTCTCTTATACATGAAAACTGCCTGGGTGACTTTGAGGCAGTCACTGTCTCTCGGCCCTGTCACTTTACAGGGTTGTTACAGGGAAAACAGGAGACAGGAACATTATGTGTACCACCTTCAGTTGTCAAAAATAAAGACAGATCATCAATCTAATAAATCAATCAAAGGAATCTCTTATTGAACGAACATGTATACGATTCCATTTTCAGTATGATTACCAGACCGCTGTCCATTCCAGAATCAGACTTTTCCCCCAAAACAGAAAAAAAAAATGGAATAAAGGAATTCTGACTGAAAGAGTAGAGCAGTCAAAGATATCTTCTTTCTTCTTTTCTGAATTAGCAAAGCAAGGCAGTGTAATCACTGGGGTGCTGATCATTATTTATTTTTATTTATCTGTCAAACTTATATGCCACTCATCTCGTTATTCAAAGTGACCCTTGGACAGCTTGCAGTGCAATTAAAAATAAAAATGTTAGAACGAGTCTAAATATTAAAACCAAATTTAAAAATTACAGGAGTTAAGTGAGCAAGAGAAGGACTAGAAAGTAGCCGATCCTTTTGGTGTTGAGCAGGGAGCAAGCCCAGCAATCTGCACATTCACACCCCTGACGTGCATTTTTCTACCCTTGCAAAAGTTTTTGCCTACTTCCTAGCCCATGCAAGGATCCCATCCCAAAGCCTGAGACTCTTTCAACTCCAGCTAATATTTACTGAGCAGTGATGAGTGTTCTCTGGTGTTTCCCTCAGCAGTTTGGAGCACCCTGGAGCTTCCAAGCCTCCGCTAAGCTCCTCCAATATGACATCACGGATTTTGCTACGACAGCAGCTCATGCGTGAGCAAATGCAGGAACAAGAACGCCGAGAGCAGCGACAGAAGCAGCAGGCAGCTCAGTTCATGCAGCAGAGAGGGGCTGTGAGTCAGACACCTGCCATCAACGTCAGCCTCCCCTCCAGCCACCCTCCTGCGACTCAGGTGCCAATGGAAGTCCTGAAGGTAGGCAACTTCTTGGATTTGAGAAGGTGGTGGAAGTTTGTTTCCATTAGTTCAAAGCTTTCCAAAATTGTTTCTGGCAGTAATGACGGAGTTTAAAAACAAAAAAAATTCTTCTCATCAGTTTTGCTCTCCCTGTGCATCTTGTGTTGCAGCTTTCCCAGGAAAGGTTCATTTCACTAGGCAAGGAATAGAGCTGTGTGTTTTTCGTTATTAAGGGCATTTTCCCCCAAAAAGGAATTCTCCTCCCCCTTTCCCAATGGATATGAAACATGCTCGCCGTTTTGAAAACTGCTATCTTATTTCAGACCCCTAAAAAACATCATCAAAATAGTTTTCAAATTCTTTAACATTGGTGGAATCATCTTTTTGGTTAATGTATAAGTATATGTGCATTTATACATACATAAATACTTATATGTTTGTGTATGTATACCCATCAAAAGCTTTTTTCAAAAACTAATATAGATCCTGCACAAAAGATTGTTTGAAAAAGGTTTAATATGGAATACAGTCCTTTGCTATAAGCCATTAGTAATTCTGTTTTGCTCAAATGACTTTATTTTTTTTATTTTTTTGGGTGACCATTCTGCTCCTTCTCCAACTTCCTAATAATTAGGAAAGTTGTTTCTAAAATAGATAGAAAGTCAGACTTCTTTTTTCTTCATAGAAATGAAATTAAACCAGTAACATTTCTTAAGTAACACTCAATATTTGACACTAACAAAGGTAATTCCAAAATGTGAAGGGAAACTGCCATTTTCAACCTTTTGTACCATTTTACCTGTATCCTATACAAGCAATGTTGTCTTTACTTTTTGTTCTGGAGCTAATGTCATTGTAAACTCAACTGTGTTCCTCCATTTCGAAATACAATTGTATGGTAATGGTAGTCAAACCAATAGTAAAACAGAGTTTTTAAAATGAAATCTTAATTTTCAAATGCAAAGATAATTTAGCCAAACTTTCTTTAGTCTGGTGCACTTCAGCTTTACTGAGGTACAATCCTCAGAATTTCCCAACTAGAAATCTGATGGATGCCAGAAAACTGAGTAAGTTCCTTGTCTTCTAAACTGTGACATGCTTATTTTAGGATTTGCTTCATTTGTCATATGTTCTCTTACCAAGATGGCAGGAAATTATGCTGTCAGGTTTCAGTAGTCATAGCTCTCAGATACATGTCTGAGAGCTACTAAAAAAAAGGGGGGGGAGTTGTATGTTGCCTAGGATCATAGATTTTCCACCTCTTTCCTCACTAATGTAGTTTGCAAAATTTAAGAAAAACTACCAATGGGTTTTGTGATAATAGCAATAATACTTATATATTGTCCCATGGTGTTTTACAGCATTGTCTGAGTGATTTACAATGTCAACATATTTCCCCTAATAAATTAGGTCCTCATTTTACTTCCATCCTCATTGGAAGGATGGAAGGCTGAATCAATCCTGAGCTGGTCAGGATCGAATTCCTGACAGTGGACAGAGTTAGCCTGCAATACTGTATTCTAACCACTGTGCCATCATGGCTCCTAGTGTTGCGCAAGAGTTGGTCAGAATTGAGTTTTCAGTCTCTGTGTTGAGTCATAGAAAATGACTAGATATTAGGTCCAAAGAGAATGTAAGTAGAATCAAGAAGGCCCTAGAACTCATAGAGTAAAGGAAGGAAATGATAAAAAGTTAAGGAACAGGCATAATATGATGCAGTTTTGTCTTAAATTGGAATGCAAAAATGAAGGCAGAATTATGTAGTCATGGCAGAACTTTAACTAATAGAGTGCTGTGACTCTAAGCAAGAGACCTCATTTTAAAACAGGGAGCTCCGAAAAAATATCTGGGTTCCTAATATGAAAACTTAATTCTTATACAGACTGGAAAGCACAGTTAACATTAAGATGTAGCCCTGATATCCAGTCATATAGAACAGAACAGAATATAATTCTTTATTGGCTAAGTCTAGTTATTATTTTCTCTTGATCAAAATAACTATAGAAGATTGTTAAGTCCTTCAAGCGATGGTGAATGATGAAGACACATCTTATAGTAAACAGCTCTTTTATTCGTTTTCAGCCAAACACCAACAACGAGCAAAGGCACGCAGGCCTCTTTTTATCTGACCAGATCCCCGGACAAAATGGCAACAAAACGGAGCGCTTTCGCGCCTTGCGCATGCACACAAGGCTGGCGCCTCTCAGTCTGGTCCCAGGTAGCTTCTGGAATGCCCGGGACCATTGCAACGTCCCAAGCCTGCTTTTGCAGGCTCAGGACACAACAAAGATCATTTTCTGGTTGTTCTAAAGATGCTTTTTCAAAAGGCAAGTGGATTTTGTTTTTTCTTTTGAATACGTTATCTAAGAAGCATCTTAAGTTCTACTTCAGTTCGCTTCTTGGATGAGAAGCAAAACATATTCAAGAGGAAAAAACAAAGGAAGTCCAGTTGCCTATTGAAAAAGCATCTTTGGAACAACTGTGACCTGGATGACTGAGGCAGTTATTGCAATGGAACTCCTACGACCTTCTGTCTATCTATGATAGGTTTGACCAAATAGTTGTAATGTGAACAATAACATATTGATTTTGTCTGTTTTCAACTATTTTGCCCACAATATTAGATTAAAAATGGGAAAAATGCAACCAATATTGCTAAATTTGACGTAAATGTTTATCATTTGCCTTTCAACTATTTTTCAAAGTGCAAATCAAAGGTGATTTTTCAAGAGGCAATTAGGCTTTCCTTGTTTTTCCTTGAAGACATTTCACTTCTCATCCAGAAGTTCAATTGAAGAAGCTTCTTGGATGAGAACCCAAATGTCTTCAAGGAAAAACAAAGGAGGTTCATTTGCCTGTTGAAAAAGCACCTTTGGGACAACTATGACCTGGATGACTGAGAATCTCCATAGACATCTCTCTAGGTGCAAGTCTGATATTTTATTTCATCACTTAACCTTTTCTTTCACAGTATGTATTGTGTGTACACTTAGCTTTAGGTGCATTTTTCCTGCTTCTTGTAACAAGGAATCACTCAAAGGAGTAATTATTAAAAACAATTATAAAATTTCTCAAGGAATTTGGAAGGTTCAGAATCATCTCTTTTTGATAAAACCAAAAGTCTTATTAAACAAAATTGCTTAAAAAATTTTACATGCAAAAAATGTTTTTACTGTGTGGACCATGAATGAGAAAGCTGTGTCTGATGGAGGAAAGATTGTCAGTTTTGTTATGAGTTCCTAAGTTATCTTGCGTTGGCTGCATCTAACTATATCTGCTACAGTCCACAAGCCATTTAACTTTTATAAAGTAACTGTCATCATTCTATTCTAGGGTTTTTTTTTTTAAGGCCATCAACAGCTTCTCTGGTACAAGTTGAAAAGGAGAATGATCTGCCTCTTATTGCAGAAGTGTACCTCTTGAGGAAAAATAGTTAAGTGGTGGATAAACAAATGAACCCCAGATTTCATGGAAATGTCTCCCAGAATAAGAGGCTCATTTTTGTGAAAATTTCAGTTAGTACAGAATATGGAAGGAAGACCTGGCCAAAGATACATTTTAATATAAAACCTCTTCTGTGATGTACGTGTCTGCTTCTATAGAGCTACGTGTCTGCTTCTATAGAGCAAATTCTTTCATTTCAGTTCACATAAGCAAGTAGCCCCCTGCCATTTGTGCCAAACCCCGGCTGATCTTTGAAGAAAGAAATAATGTGAGTAGCAGATGTAATTTTTTTATCATCGTCTTTTTTCTACTACATGATCCAAATAGGTTTCTTGGGTTTATTTAGGAGCCAGGTCAATGAAATAGTAAAAATGACAATGTGTACTATGGTGAAGGAAAATACAAACATAGCTTATGTGTTTTTTTTTCCCAGCAGTAATTGCATCCAAATTTATATAAAGTTTCTTATAACAAGAATTGTGGATATTATGGCTTATTTTTGCTGGACATGATGCAAATGAAATCTTTCCCAATTTGGCTTCTTTGATCACAGCAGATTCTAATTTTATTACACACACACAAATTTTTTGTATAAAATAATGCACAGACTAGTAAGCAAATACACACATACAAACACACACAAACTTACTAGTCCATGCATTGGAAGGTCTTCTGACAACAAGTTTCTGCTTTTTACTTTATTTTAGTACAAGTAATGCAGTATTTAAGGTGTTGGATTGGGAATGAATTCACTGTCAGTGATGGAAGCTTACTCTTCCTGTAGGTGCCTTTGGTTCAATCATTCTCTCTCATAGGAGATATTATGGGGTGAAATTGAAGGAATGAGTGAAAAGCATAGTGTCATAAGAAAGGTGGGATATACATGTAAAAAAACCACAAGTATTTTTACTTCTTTGGTTATTTAAGTACAATATTTATTTTTTTAAATGGAATTCTGAAGTATCCTCCTTATGTAGTAGAGATATTTGAAGGCCTAAATTTTGCATTCTCCTTTTGACTTGCATACATCGTTCTTTCATAAATTCCCACATTTTGCCTGTAATACCCTGTGACCTGGATTATCCATGGAATCTGTGGAAAGGGAAGAGCTGTGGAATAAAAGAAAATGCTTTTGGCAAATGTTAGAATCGGCGGAATTCAGTGATGCTCTGCTGAATACTCATGACTTTAGCACATACCTCAGGGTGTGTAAATCACTGCAAATATTTTTATGTGCATTTTTAAAAAGAAAATAGTTTGGGTGATGTGCATTTTCCCTGTGACCTTGTATGAAAAATAGGATAAAAATTCTTAAATAGTCATTGGGTCGGGAGACTTTTGGAGAAAATGCAGTGTAGGGGCCAGATTAATTGATGTGTGAAAAAGCCTCAAAAATGGGATCATAGCCTTAAAGCCAAAGAATTGAGATTAGTGACCCATACATACATAGGAATGTTCTTGCCTTGTTTCTCCTTTGGCCCCTTAAGTATACCTGGAAGCTGTTCCTAAAATTCAAAGTAATCTCTGGATAGTAATGAAAGCAGTTGGGAAAATGGCAACCAGAGAGGAAGAAC